CCAGGTGGGTACGTTTGTCTGTCTGGGGTCATTGCTGCTTCTGGCAGGCTGTTGCTATACTGAGGGTTGGCCATCAGAGAAAGTTAAATAAGTTTTCTTAATGTTATTTTGAAACATTTTCTGCAGCTTAAATGGTAAACATAAAATGACTTAGTATTGTGCCCCTGCTGTGTAATGCTTTCATGGAAGCACATCACTGAAACCAGGAGGAAAAAAGATTTCTCTGTCACTTGCAAGGCTGTGGAGGATCAGCGTTGAGAGCAGAGGAACGAAGTTCATCTGCACTCACTGCTGGCTTTCAGTTTCGGTGATTTGTATATTGTATGAGTGACTTCAGCTGGACAGTTGCCCTTTACTGTAAAAAAAAAAAAAAGACCAAAGACCATGTAATCACCCAACTGCACAAAGCAGCTTTGTGGCTTTGATGTCTTCAGCAGATAATTGAAGTTGTGCCCAATCTGTCACTTTGGGGGTGAATAATCTCAAATAACACATTTGTCCCAGAGTTGTTTTGAAGTTGGCTGTAGAGACCATCACAGAGGGGGGTGTAAGTGTGAGCAGAAAGGGAGGTAATTTGCAGAAGTGTTGCTGTTTGGAGCTCTACACCACTGACCTGTAATGATGGACTTTTCTCCTGGTTTCAGTATCTAGTTGCTCAGACCATGCCCACGGCAGTCCCAGTCTCCCTGCTGGACGGCTCAGAGAGCCGGGATGGTTCCACGTCCGTCCCACCCATCACAGGGAACGTGGGCAGAAGCAGTCTCACGCTGCTGGGAGCGTGATTTGCTATTAGGCTATGTGGTATCCGGTCTGCCATCAATTACAGCCTCGGCTTGGAATAAAAGGGAATGAAAGGGATTTAACGGCCGAGTCATCGCCTGCTGGTGAGGAGGAGCTGTGGATGCGTTTTGAAAGGAAAGTGAGGAAAGTATCATGCTGAAAGGTTGCAGATGGGAAAAGAGTGAATCTATGTTTAAAAAAGCCACACTCAAGAACCTGGTTTTTACCTGCAAAATCATGTGCTATCAAAATATGAATTAAACAGCTTTTTCTAGAGTTTTGTCTGCTGAAAATAGAGAATTAGGTAGAGAGGGGAAAACCTGATGCATAAGCAAGCAGAGTTCATCTTGCTGTATGTCAGAATGGTAACTCGGGATCAGCGAGCTGGAGCAGAGGATTATTTCTCACAGCCTCAAATCCTGAGTGCAGGACTGTGGTTCAGGAGGACAGGGTGGTTCTGAGCTCTGCCCCTCTGCTTGAAAGCCATAACCAGCTCTCCTCTCCCTGCTCCCAGTTTACGCCACGGAGCTGCTCCGACAGAAAGGGAGGGATCCACCTTCCCTGACCTGTACCACGTCTGCTGTTTTTGCCTTTCCTGGCTGCTGCTTTCTACATGCTGAGTTCGTGCTGGAAGTAATACAGCTAAATTGCTTCCTCCAGCTACTCACTCTCAATTGACTTTTCTCCGCAGGGAGCTTTAAATGGTGCCCATGGGGCAGCGCAGAGCCTGAAATCCCTGTTAACCCTGGTATTTCAAAAACGATCAAGGCAAACAGAGCCGCTGATCTCTGCTTTAGGAAACGATGCCCGGTTGTAACAAGTCATTACCCTAAAAAGAAGAAATGAGCCTTCATAAAGTATGTGTTAACCTTCACTAACTAAAACACATTCTTTTTCACCTGCTTTATATGCTTGGTTGTGCATGAGGAAAGGCTTGCTTTTTTCCCCAAGTGTAACTGGTACAATGCTGCAGTGCTTTTTCAAGGGAACTAAACTGAGAAAACATTGAAAAATTCACGTTTTCTACTTTTTTTTGTGATAACCTAGTTAGTTTGTGGAAGATAAGAGGATTTGTGGAAGATAGAAGGAGCCTTGCCTTAGTCTACGAGTGCTTGAAACTGGCAGGCAATCGGCAATCGTCTGCCATCCTTTACCTTCAGGCACTTTAGATCTTGGCCCACCAGGACTTACTCCCAGCAGCAGACTCCAACTGTCCTCTCAGGTGAATTAGAGCTATGAATTTATAGATTTGTCCACTAATCCTTTCACTGGCACTTTGAATCAGGCATCTGGAAGGTAGTGCATTTCTTATCAGTGGTGCGCTGCTTATCACTGATGGTAAATATATCTCCCCAGCGGTCTAATCATCATAAAACTTGTGTTTGGTGTTAGCAGGACGTTTGTTATTCGCTTAGATATTCTGACAGCAAAGCTGTTCTACCATTTATTTTACCCTATCCATGGCATAAAATGGAGACTCTGGGCTGAGATGGATGCCTTGCCTGGAAGGCAGTCACAAAAATTGGTGAGTAGAGACAGGCACCTTCCTCCTTCCAGGTCTCTGAGCAGTGCAGCACACTAAAGGCAACAAAGAGCTTCTGGTTTGTGTATGCAGCACATCCCCACAAGCCTTTTGTTTATTTCCTGGTCATTTCAGTATGTGCTTAAGCAGTTATTGTGGTAACTCATTATCCTACTGAAACATTGGTTAGCAGCCACTTTTCGGATCAATTTTGCAGATACAGCACAGAGTGTGCAGAGTGCCTGCTGAGCAGCCTCGGCAGCAGTTAAACAAACCTGGATAATGACTGGAAATATTACCATGGGAAAAAGATATCCTAAGGTTGCCATAAAGCAAGATCATGGGAGAACAAAAGCAAACACATAGAAACATTTCTTCCCCCTACACCCCTCCCCCCAATATTTCTGCATAATTTGTCTCCTTTCAAAGTTACAGTAGTCTCCCAAAGATAAAAACCTGTGGTTTCTGAAGTGCAGCCGCTCGGTCCTGTGGCAGTTGCACCCATGTGGAATCAACCACCTACGAAATTGCATTACAGGTAGAGCTGCGAGTTGGTATCTGAAAAATGAGTAATCTATTTAAATGTATGAAGGAAAACAAGTGAGCTCAACCATGAAGTAGTTCTTAGCTGAAATGTCACGAGCAGCATCATTTACATTCAGCCTCCCCTTGAACCCAAAGGAGCACCATGTTAAACTGTTTCCCTAACCCACAGATGGACAGACTGACAGGCTCTTTGTTGCAGAGTCAAGTTGGGAAATTCCAGAGCTAAGGTTGTCTGTGCAACCTTCCTCTCTGCTCCCTGTGTGGACGGGCCACAATACAGGCTTTAATTTCATAATCCCTTGGTCATTTTCCACTGGCCCCCTGCTTCTCTCTGTGGAGGAGGCACAATGCAGCCTTAATGAGCAGACAAGCAGTAGCTTGACTTGTCATTATTAGGTCTGTGACTGTGGACCTCATTCAAGTCCTGCTCTGAAAACACAGTGCTTTGTTTTCAGTTTTTATACAGCTGTCCCACAAAAGTCTCACAGCCCTTCATGGGCACAACCCTTGTACCCTACAGAGGGTGTTCAATGGTTAGTACCCTCATTTTACAGATGGAGACCAGAAACAGCAAGCATTTTAACACCTACCACTTCTTGCCATCCCATGACCATCCATAGTGCTGGAGCACAGCCCCTGAGGAGGGCTGATGTGGTTGTGAGTGCTCTGCAGCTCAGCAGTCAGCCATTCAGAGTGCAAAGGAATTCCCGTAGATGTGGCCACCCCTTGCCATGGCCCTGTGGTTTCTGGCTATGGCCTGTTTGAAGCAGAGCTCTGGTTGTACAGGAGAGGTGCTCACAGCACAGTCACTGCCCTGTGCCCCTGGGCAGAGGGGTCTGCAAGCCAGCACCCCAGTCTGTGTGGTTGGTGCGTGGCCTGACACCAGCAAGGTGTCCTGGGCTGACACAGCTTAGGAAAGTGGTCGCCTTGGCAAGGCTTTTACATCACCTGCCAGAGTTTCTCTCCTGTACCTTCACCTGCCTTTTCTGACACTGCTGTGACTGTTAGGGTAGGCTGCCAGAGAGAATCGGGGATTTTTGGTTGGGTTTTTTTACTGTTCTTGACTCTTAATGAAGTATTTTTCATTTCAAACTCATATTGAGTGTGAGCAGATGGGCAGAAGCAGCAGCTCAGGTGGAAGTGGCACAGGCAAACCCCGCTCTCACAGCGAGGAGTGTCCCCTATTTGGCTCTGGGAAACGCAAGCCCTTGAGCTCTGCAGCTTGTGACCACTACTGCAGTCATCATTTTCTACCAGGTGTGAAATTGTGATGAAATGCTCTTTTTTTATTAAAGCGTATAACTCTCTTCCCCCAGCTAATCTCCAAGCAAAGTCAACTCATGTTTGTATTGGGCTGTGAGAAGTTGTGTTGCTGAATATCTTACTACAAAATTAAGTGATGATCTAAATCTGGAATAGGGCGCTTTTTTATTAGATGTATTTTTTCCTTCAAACAGTTTCACAGCTTCTTTCCTGCTATCCCTTGGAGCTGCCCTTAAAACCCTGCAGAATCTTTGCATAATTCTCTTTTGATTTGGTCCTCCTCACTCAGCATCCATAGTGATGCCTGCAAAAGCTTCAGACAGCAGCTTTACTGTGGGTAGCTGGTGGTCTAAGCTGCTCATAGTATTAATTTCACTTTGGCCTTCTCCTGTACTTGTGCAGTGCATGTAGTATCTGGCACACAAAGACCCCGTTCTACTGTGGTGCAAGTAATCACTGTTAGTGTGTTTTGCTCTGTCACAGGATTTTGTGATGGAGGAATAAGGTACAGCTATGCCTTACTGTCTTTGTTTAGTTAGGTGGGTTTCTTTTTCCCATAGCTTTGACGTCACCACAAGATTTGTGAAGGAACAGTAACATGCTTTGGTTCTAGGATGAGCTGCATTGGACACCTTGGCATATAAAGCTTTTCAGACCAGGAGTCAAAGGGGTGTGAAGGGGTGTGAACAGCCAAGCATGAAACTTCACGTACTGTCCATGGTAGCCCTAGGATGCTCTGAGATTTTAATTTATTTTTTTTTAAATACAAAAGGAATTGTACATAAAAGCAGTTATGTATGTTATCAAATGGACAAGCCTGGACTCAGATGTTACTGACAGCAGTTGCAAAGCCTCTTGTTTTCACATAGTAATGGTGTTGTTCTTGCAGATTGATGTCCTCAAGGCAGATGTGGAGAGCGCCGAGTGGAAAATTTTGGAGAACCTCATCCTGGAAGATGTTGTTGAGCAGATAGGACAGCTGGTGTTTGAGGTGCACATCCACTGGCCTGGGTTTGAAGTCAGCGGCAATGACAGCACTGTGGTGCGGTACTGGTACAGTCTGCTCCGAGAACTGGAGCTGAAGGACTTCAGGCTTTTCCATACCCACAAAGACTTATCAAAACCACAGATGTTTCTGAAAAAGGAAGCCTTCAATGCCAGTAGCTGTTACACACTGAGCTGGGTAAATACAAGATGGAAATAGCAGAAAGGAATTTATGATGTGTGACTGTGAGCCATCTGGCCCTGTAGCGTTATTGAAGAGGACTTTAGCGTCACTGGCTAAAGTTGCTAAATATGCACACAGTGACTGCTAACAAAATGGACTGGCTTTTATTTTTATATGTTGTCAAAAGAACTGGCACTAGAACAAGATACACAGTGCAGATTTGTACAGCAGTATATTTGACAGCAGGTACCCTGTCTCAGAGGACAGAGGTTTCTGTAAATGTTTGTCGGGGGGGCTAACAGCGTGATTTACCCAGGCTGACCTGTGCCTGAGTGTGCTGGCACAGAGGGCTTCCCTCTGGGGCTGCTCTGGGAAACTCTGCTCCCTGAGCTGCATCAGCTCTCAGGCAGGAGAGTGCTCATGAGGAGGTGTCTTCCCCGGGAAGGGTCAAGTGTTACTACTTTGTAAAGCGATCATCTTTGATTCGCAACTTCTTTACTGTGGCCTTGTTTCCTATGGAACACATTTTAGGCAAGAACCCACTGGCAAATTTCAGCTGAATTTGGCAGAGGCAGAAATCACCCCCAGACTAAATTTCTACCTGTTTTGTTGAGCAGCTTCTGAGTGCTCTGACTTTAGCTCTTTAAGGCAGTCTGGCTATGGGAAGCAAATTCAGCACTTCTGGCACAGGAGATGGTGGGACAGAGAGACTCAGCTGATGGAAAAGCTGCCACCAGCACTCTCCCTCCTCACCTTCCGGAGGCTTCAGCCAGAAAAGATGGCTTCCCCAGTTAATTTTCTCAGAGAATGTCTTGTTTTAAATTACTCTTGCAATGCCTGTAGCAAATGGCTGTTCATCTAGAGAGATACTTATTTAAAAGAGCTGAAAGTAAAACCTGGTCTTTTAAATCTGTTTGTTTTGGGGTCTAGTTGAACCTTTTGCTGTGCGCTGCACCTGGGTGCCTGCTGCCTCCTCAGCACATCCCCGGCCTGGCCACCTCTTGCTGACACGAGGAGGCCGGGCCCTGGGCCTGCGCTGATGCTGGCAGAGGTGGTGGGGCAGGCAGGTGCCGGGGGCTGTGGCCATGCTGGGGCCCGTGCTGGGTGAATCTCAGGAGCCAGCCTTGGCCATGCCCTGGGGAGCTAGGGAATGGGGGGAGCTAAAAAATATATAGCAGATTGGGTTTTTTCTTCTTTTTAAAATAATTTTGACATTAAACTTTGCATTAAAATACAAGGTGACACCACTTCGATGTCTTTGATATACGACCTTGGTAACTGCCTTTGGTTTTGGACTTCTGCAGGGCTCAATGTTCCTCCCCTTGGCATGCCTCAGCCCAGCATTGTGTTTTTAACAAGTCTCTTTCTCTGTCCTCATGTTGTTCCTTCTCTTGTAATCCTGGCATTTTCTTTCATACCCTCCTTTCCTTTTTCACCTTCTGCCTAAGCTCTGTCATCCCCTTCTTCCCAGAGCAGGGCCCTGCGCTGGACCCAATATGCCCACAGGATCTCAGCAAACAGCCAGAGGTGGGGAAAATTAAGTGTAGGAGCTCTTCCTTCCCACAGGTGAGTCACCTTTCTCCCAGAGCCATTGCTTTGCTTCACCAGTGGATCAAACCGTTCCCCTCACCTTTCCCAGGCTTTTCACCAAGCCAGGCATCTGCTTTCCTCCTCTCTCACCTCTCTGAGGGCTCCAACTGCCCCAGCGTGGGCAGAGACTGCTCTCCCCAGCAGAAACTGCTTCAGCCCTTCAGCTCAGCTGAGAAGAGGCCAGCGGACAGGTGACCCTGCTAGGGTGACAGCCTTCCTCCCACTGCCCTTGCTCTGGGACTGTGGGGAGCAGCCTGTCCTGGCCCCAGCACTTGCCTCCCACCTGGTCCTGCAGAGCCCATCGTGAGGCTTGAAACTGCTGCAGCGAGTCTGACTTGGAGCATCTGTGCTTGCCACAGAGATCACAGACCTCGGGCTGCTTTGGAAGATGCAGAAAAAACCCTCCTTACTTCAGTGGGGAAGGACTTCGGTGGTGAGGGGCTAGTGGAAATGGAGGAGTCTCTTCATCTGAAAGCCAGCTCGGTGCCCTTGTGTGCTCAGGTTTGTATCAGTCTTCCTAATCACATTTGAAATTTTAACTCGTGGCTAAATGTCAAACCCTTTCTTTTATAACAAATGTGTGCTGGTTTTCAATCTACTACCTTTCAGTCATGCTGACAGGCAGTGCCCTGTATGGAGTCGCTAATTTACTGCCTCCCCGTTTTTATTTTCATTTTAAAAAGAAATCCATCTAATTCTTCAGTTACACTAGGATTTGCTTAAGTGGAGTTTAATTCTAAGGGGACTTAATATTATTGTCTTCTGAACACCAAATGTGTCATTTACGGAAGATGGAGAACAGTGCAGCTAGACCGGGACTACTGACCAGGTGATGATCCCAGCTATGCCTGTGCTTGTAAATTCAGCAGTGGCAGGCAGCGTGCGCAGGGATGGATATCTGTCTTATCTGTCTGGTTAATTAATGAGATCCCTGGCATGATTTTGGCTTAGGCCATCTAGGTCTCTCCCAGATGATTCCATGGCACAGCCATGCAGTTAGCCTAAGCCAAGGACAGCTTGAATGCAGCCACCTTGTTTGGAAAGCTGAGAGTTCAGTAAATATTCACAGCCAGGGCATCTTTGCTAGTTCATCTCAAGGCTGGGGAATACCTCTTGGTACCGTTTTGTTTTCTGGTATAATTTAACAAAGGCAAGTGCCAGGTTCTTCATCTGAGACAGGGTAATCCTGGTTATGTGTACAAACTGGGGGAGTAGAGGCAGGAGAGCAGTCCCGTGGAAAGAGATCTGAGGGTTTGGGTTGATGGCAAGTTGAATATGAGTCAGCAGTGCCCTGGCAGCCGAAAGGGCCAACTGTGTCCTGAGGTGCATCAAACAGCACAGCTATCCAGTCGAGGGAGCTGATTGTCCCACTCTGCACTGCACTGTTGCAGCACCACCTCGAGTACTGTGTGCAGTTTTGGGCACCTGTGTATAAGAAGGACATCAAACTATTCGAGCGTGTCCAGAGGAGAGTGACCAGGAGCGTGCAAGGCCTCCAGGGCAAGAGTTATGAGGAGCGGCTGAGGTCACTTGGCTTGTTCAGTTTGGAGAAGAGAAGGCTGAGGGGTGACCTCATCGCAGTCTACAGCTTCCTCAAGGGGGGCAGCAGAGGCGAAGATGCTGATCTCTAATGAGCAGTGACAGAACATGAGGAAGGGGAATGATGCTACATCAAGGGAAGTTCTATTAGAAGGGTGGTCAGTCACTGGAACAGGCTCCTCAGGGAATTGGTCACGACACCAAGCCTGTCAGAGTTCAAGGAGCATTGAGATGATGCTCTTAGTCACATGGTTTAGTGTTAGGTAGTCCTGCGAGGAGCAGGGACTTGGACTCGATTCTTATTGGGTGCCTTCCAACTTGAGATATTCTGTGATTTTATGATTCTATAAATGTAACTTCTGTTTCTGCTCCTGCACATCCCACCTGGCCCAGGGAGCAAGGGGCTCTGCAGTCACACAGAGCAGGATGCTGTGGAGACCCACCATGTTCTCAGCTCTGCAGTGCTCAAAATCAAAATGACCTGTTGCAGATGTGTTTGATTCCCTGTGCCCAAGACGTTGGGCAAAGCACTTTCTTCAGGGCCAAGCTACATATTGCCATATCTGAGCCAGGTAATACAGAACCCAAGAGATCACAACCTCTGAAAATGAGTAGGAAATGATTTCTCTGTGACAGCCATGCTTGCTGCAACCCTTGTACATTAAATACTGAGGTTGTTCCGCAGTGCAGGGTCATGAGAAGATTCATTAAAATGTGAAAGGGTACCAGGATCTCCTAAAGGAGTATCTGACTTGTTGGAATGATCACACTTGCTGCACCACAGAGTGGCTTAGCTCCCAATTTTTGAATAATGGGGTGGCAAAAGCCTAGCTGTGAGTTCTAATTTCTTAATAAAGCATAAAAATATGGGCTCTAGCACTCCTCAGGTTTTTCCTTCTGAATTGTCTTAGAGTAAGTAGCCTAGTAGCTTATTATTTATTTAAGAAACTGATAGAGGTTAAAAAACAAATTACATGATCTCTCTCAGATGTTAGAATTCCAAAGGTACACACATCTTCCATCATTTATTGCCCTGAAGTAAAAGTAGTGATGTATATGTAAATTATAGAGATGGTATATGTAAATTATAGAAATGGAGTAGAGGTCCACCCTAGTTCTTCTTTGGTTAATCTCTTGCTCAGGATTGCCAGGTAGTGTCAGTAACAATTCAGGCTGTGGCAAATACATCTTCTGCAAGAAAAGATTCCATAACTATGGTAATTTTTAAGGAAACCTTATCTCAGATACAGGATAGGTAAAAGCCATTTATCATTCTGGACGCAGTTATGTGATATTACAGGAGAAAATGAACAGCTCTTATTTTATGCACTATCTGTGCCTTTCTACTTCACATCTCTTAAAGCAGAGTTACAGCCTTCCTTTCTGAGGTCTTGCTTTTGTGCCCTTACCATTCTCTTTTACTGATCTCTTCTACCTAAACGAGACACTCTTAAATACACTCTGTTCCCATCTCCTAATGACTGAGCTGCCAGGTATGTGCACAGGGGCACAAGCCAGCTCTGGCTGACTCTGCCCCAGCGGACAGGCTGGCGCTGAGGGACGCTATGTGGGGTAAGTCCGTGTCCACCTGCTGCCATACCTGGGCACGATGGGCCCCTACCTGCTGCAGGGTCCCAGCTGTTCACCCTGCTCAGGCAGTATCTCCAGCCCGCTAGGGACTGCTGAGACAGAAAGGTAGGGATCCAGGACTGCTGGCAGCCACGGGCTCATGCTGTTTCAGCCAGAGCTGAAGATCCACCAGCCAATGCCCCACCTAGCTTTACTGCTACATGCTGGCTCTCAACTGTACCAGCTACCTCAGGGATATCTTCACATGTTTGGCACCCATATTTGAGCCTGCCTTACTGCTGTAGGATGGCTCCCTGCAGGGAGCATTGCACTGCTCAGGAGCAGCTCTAGAGCAGAGCGGGCTGTTGGGAGAGACCGTGAAACAGGTGAGGAACTTGCTGAGATGGTCTCCCTGCAGGGAGCCCTGCAGTAACTGCATGCTAGTATTGTACTCCACATCTCTACAGATCAGACCTGCACAGAAACTGCTGTAGCTGCCCCCTTCTTTGAGGGCTAAGTACAGAGTGCACCATTAAAACCAGTGTGGGCAGGGCATTCTTCCATTACAGCTGCAGCCTGGAGACTGGTAACTGCGTGGCTATGCCCAGGCAGGAAGAAAGGGCCACTGGTCTGTCCTGGCATTGCTAAAATATGCCTAAGTGCCTGGTCTGGGCAGCATCCAGCATCTCTTGCAGAGAATGCAGTAAAGCCTATTTCTCCCTCTGACTGATCTGAGAGACAGAGGTGACTCTTCAGAAACATGCTGTGGGGCCCTGCCCTTGGCAGCAGCAAAAGAAGAAAGTCAGACTCAGTCTTCATACTCTTCCTGCCAGGAGCAGCACAGGAAGGTGCCTGGATCAAATTGGGGCAGGGCAGGAGCACAGGAGCCAAATCATCCCGTCATCAGATGCCAACTAGCAAATGTGTGTCTCTGGACTGACCTTCCAGTGATACGCTCAGCAGCGTTTGCACAGGAGTTCATTGCAGAGGAGCGATGTGATGCACCTGCTTTCTTAAGCTGTATATCCATACTATGCCATCTACCAGGTGCTCCTGGCACTTTCAGCTGCCCCAGATCTGCTCAGCATCACTGTTATTTCCCCATAGACTTCTGGCCCTCAGTCCCCAGGTGCATTGAACATCTCCCCGCACTCAATGCAGATGTCTGCATCAGCTCTCCAGAGCAGCCAGCCCATTGCCTCCAGTCTGGCACCAAGTGAAACCCAGCCCAGGACCCTCCTTACTGCCCACACCTCGGGTCATTCATGGTGGCTACAGCCAGTACCAACCCCAGCTAACAAGGACATAATGACCAGGTCTCATTCCTGAAGTGGAGTCACTACTGCATGAGTTGGACATCTCCACCAGGAGATGTTTCAGCTCAGTCTAAAATGGATCTTTGCAGAGATGAGCTGTGTGTAGTGGCAGTTCTATTTGCACCGATCCTTCTATGGGAATGAGGGCATTTCCCTTTCAGAGAGGCCCACAGTGATTTATAAATAACACACATTTGTGAATCAGAATTTACAGGTGCTGCCCATGACCTGATGAAGAGCAGCAATAGATGTGAATCCCCCAAACTATCACAGCCAGTTCTGCAACCTGGGCTTTCCATAGAGAGCCCACAGCAGCACAGAGGAGGATGTGTTAGGACACTAACACACTTCTCCAGGGAAACCGATCTCTTTCTAAATACCACACTGGCTTCCTTGGTTCCAAAATTTGACCAAAGAAAGGCCTGCCACATTCCAAAACCTGATGTTTATCACATGCACTTCTGGCCCCAGGCTTTGATTCCACTGGTGACTTATGAAGAATTATTCTTCATGAGCACCTCTCAACTGTGAAAGATCAAAGAAAGCATAAAGGAAATATGTCTGGCCTTTCTTGACAGATGTCAGGAAGATGTATCACTTGGTAGCACACCTGAAGAAATAGCACTCATTTTCTCTGGTGAATTATTCAACAGCTGAGGCCATCTGGTTCATTCAAAAACTTTGATTTCATGAGCTTCATTAGTGGCTGCCGTGCCCTTGAAAGGATCCTCAGGGTTATTCAGTAGGAAATCACTCTTGATTTCTTCCTGCTTGTTATTATAACACAATGTGACATTTAATTGCAGTCAATAGAGACCTGGTTTAGTGCCAGTTGAAGTTCAGAGCTGACCTACATGCAGAGACATATTTATATTTGCCTCCCTCCCCTGGATTTCAGGGGCAGCATCTGCAGGGTAAGTCCAGCACTAGAAGGGAATCACCTTTGATAATGAATGGATGTTTTCCCTTAAACAGAAGTCCCTGTTCACAGTTAGTTTGACCTGCCTGTTGCAAAGAGTTTCAGCTGGTTCAGAAAGTGACCTCTGCAGAGAGAGCTTGTGCAATGTCCCTTATCCCAATGGGCAGGACCTTATACAAGGGGAGAAGAGGACCCTGCTTTGCGCTGCCTAGAAATGCCACTGCAAATGTGAATACCAATGCAATGTCCCTGCTCTTTTTGGTGGATTACCACCATACGTGTTTGTTTTTCAGCAGCTTCCTGAAAGAAAGTGCAAGAAAGTGCAGTGATGTACACAGTACAAAACTTCTGCAAGTAATTGAAATTGCCTCAGCTAGTATTGCCCCCCGCACCCCCGGTATTTGAAATTCCATTTCTGAATCAAACCCAAACAATGTGAATCCCACTCTTGCATCCATCTTCAGATGTCAAGAGTGGAGCCACCACCCTGGGTGCCACCACCCCTCGCAGGGAGGTGGGGACGGCCACTTGCCTGGTGTCAGACCTCTAACGCAGCAGCAGCCACCATGCCCCAGGAGTACCTGTGTCTCTCCACCAACACCAGCCAGGAACCGCCGCAACACAGGGGCTGGGACTTCACCAGACAACTCCATGCTGAACTCTCAGACTGACCTACCAGGCAGGAGAGGCCCTGAAATAGCTTCTAACTTCTTCTTTATGAAGAGAAGGAAAATTACTTCAAGAAATAGGAGAATTCAGCATCTGAATGTTATTCCGTAATGTTATTCCACTCTTCTAATATTGGAGGAATAATGACAAAAAGCAAACAAAACTGACTTGCCCCCCTGGCCCGAGGTACTCCAAAGGGTCAATAACCAGGCAGAGAAAGAGAGGAGCCTGCTGCAGAGAAGCAGTTTTGACAAAACATGGTTTTGAAAACCCTTGGGAATGGGCCTTACTTCTTTTTCGGGTAGGTACCTGGCTTGACAAATGACCTCATTTGGAGTCCAACTTCTCTCTTTGTCTCCTGCTCTTGGAAGGGATTATATTTTACATAGTATATTCTGAGGAGATGAAGGAGCAAGATTGTATAAGGGTATGGAAGCACAATATAAAAAAACTAGCCTAGTCAAGCAAAGTCACAGCTTTGTGGGGATATTAGCCTGGTACAATCTAAGGTAGGAAGTTGTTACAGATCATCTAGGACAAGGCATTTTTGTATTTTTGTTTTAATTGTTGGCTTTGCAAGAGTTTAAACTCCACCAAAAAAACCCATTTATTCCATGATTGACGACTTTTAACTGGTGAGTTAAGAGCAGAAGACCAACTGTGGGGCAATTATTCTGGAAAAACTGGAAAGATTTGCAGCCCCCAGAACCTCATCTGGGTAGCTGTCAGTGGTCTTGAGGCTCCATAAAGTTCCTATCACTGAAATGGCTCCCTACAGGATTTGTGTTTTTGCCTTCCTTTCCCAAATCAGAGGAGAAGCAGGCTTAGTTAGCCTTGACATCTTTTCAGACTAACCAGAAAAACCCAAGGCCTAATGAGAATGTCTTACTCTGAATTGAGAAGCTTAATGCATCCGCAGTGTTTTATTTCAGCAAGTCTCCCAGTGGCATGACACGCAGCAGGTTAAAAGGAGAGTCAGAAAGGCTCAGTGCTTTAGCATTTAACACATTTTAAATGTTCTATCATACAACAAGATAACAAACAGCTCTGCGGTCAAACTTGAGGTCCATGCTCTGTTGAAAAGTCACTACAGCTTGTTTCTAAAAGCTTTAAACGCTGCAAGGAGATTCTGTAAACATAACCCTGCCACAAGCAGCTTTCTCTTGAGTGCTGCAAGACAGCCGTGGTGTAGCTGTTGATTTTTTTTTTTTTATTTTTATCTTTTTTTATCAGCAAGCCTGACAGAAAAGACATGTTTTACTGCAAGATATGAGATTGAGTGTATGCTAGTGAAGTCAACCTACAGTAGCAAGTCTTTAAGTAGTCTCCAGAGGAACAACCTCCCTGGCAACTAATTTTTCTGGTGTATAGGTTCAACTGTTTAAAGTCTTCCAAGTAAAACTCCCCTCCCTCCTCCGCTCTCCGCGTGTTCCCCCTCGTGCAGGCTGCTTGTCATATGGAGTCTTCCTAGCAAACAGGAGCAGGATTTTGTCATGACCAGCTGGTAGAAAGAAGGAAAGTACGTTGTGTTACTGGGCTGTCAGAGCTGCAAGGCTCACCGTTTAAATCAGCCTTTAAAGACCGCAGTGTTAAACTGTATATTGAACATCTGCCCATTGCTAAAAATTGGCTTTTTACAAGACAATCTTGGACTTCTCTGGATGTACAGTAATTTAGATATTTGTTCCTTGTAATGAGGGCAAAGACTGAGCAGCTCCATCTTACTGGTGACAATTATAAACTCTGAGCAAGACAGATGCCAAGACCATCTGCTTCAAGAAAGACAGCCTTCTTACCAGCAAGTTGCATGAGGATATGTGGGCTATTCCCCCCCTCTTACATATGAAAAAATTCCAAGAAAAAGATGGCACAAGGCCAAAGGAACCATCAAGTTTCCCAGGCAGAACTCCAAGAATGGTGATGGAGATAGTTCACTTATCTGTAAAACTTCCGCTGTAAAAGTAATTGGTATTAATAAAAGTGGCAGCAAATTGGCACATCATTTCTGAAAGTTACAGATGCATGATCAAGGGGAACAAAACTATGATGCTGTGACAGCAGCCCTGTAGTCTAACTTGCGTATATTCCTTCCTGGCAGTGTGACATGCTTCCCTCCAGGCCTCCCAAGAAGCTCTTTTTGGCTTGAATCACTTTGTTGCATTCTCCTCCGAATGTTAGGGGAGAATAAACTGGGGGAACTCAAAACACACGCTTCCCTTTTCTCCCAATGCTGCCTTTTCCCTGGTTCTGTCTGCTCACACACCAAGTTCAGCCTAGGGGTCTCAGTCTAGACTTGTTCTGAACAACATTTGTAACAGACCAATTTCTGGTGAAACAGGAAATTGGGAAGATAAGAGAAGGACATGATTTGAGTTAATTAGCCCAGCAAGAAATCTTTTCCCAGGTGGCTGCTGAAAAGACAAGTCTAGACTCGCACCACAGACACATGCTGTCTATCTTTGTGCACAGCAAACTAGCTGACAACGTGAGCTTTGGAGTCTGCAACTCTCAAGCCGACAAGAGAGAATTATCCTCATAAAAATCCCCCCTGCGGGCTTCAGTGCAGATGTGAGAAATTCCACAAAAGATTAACGTGCTGACCAACGGTGTGAGGGACAAAGGATTTTATCTGAAAGTTTCTAGAGGTATTTTGATTCTGGGCTTGTTGCAAACATTTAATCCCAGTTCATCAACTCCAGCAGAATTTGAGTCAAGATTTCTTATTTTTGTTCCGCAAAGGCAACACTCAATATATTACCATTAAAAGTTTATAAACTTATTTTTATACTTACTATACACATTTGTGTGTGTGTGTGTGTGTGTGTGTGTGTGTGTGTGTGTGTACATATGTATTTCTGCCTGATGGGTGACACATGAGAAAACACGGTACCAACTACAGAGCAAAATATTTTGAGCATTATGATTTAAAGGCTTTTAAGCATTTGGGAAAAGATGTTTCTGACATGGAAGCTAATAAACATTCATGTGGGAATTTTTTCTATCTGCTCTATTCCTCTTCTTCTCCCCGCTTCCCTATACTTATAAGTCGCTAATGGTCAGGGCACACTGCCATGTATCCATTTAGGAACTGTATTAGAAGGAAGAAAACTGTTCTGAATTATTTCAGCCCGCCTTCACCTGAAGCGGCACCCGGGGCACAGTGCACACGAGAGCTCACAGAAATTCACCCTCTGACAGGGCAGCGGTTTACTCCCACCCACACCCTGAAGAGCTGAGACACAGGAACAGCCTCTCCTTTCCCTGCAGAGGAGAGTCCTCCAGGACACAGACCAGCTCTTTCCTCTCTCTCCAGGCTCTACCATTTCCTATCTCAGTACTTGCATAGGTGTGTGGCTAGGCAATTCCCAGTCACCACCAGTGCACCGCTTGTGAGAACAAGTGTGTAGAGTTTTACAGGTACACAAGGCCACTGAGATGGGAAAGTAAACAAACGTGAAGTTGGTGCAGTTACACAGTGGCATGAATGGGCAGTGGAAAGATGCTCAAGCTCAGCTTTAGAGTTGGTCTAAAAATAAGCATGCTCCGTGTTCCCTCACAAGGGCCTAACTTTAGTGAGTACTCTGAAAGAAGTGGGTTTTTTATTAACAAGACCAAAACCAACAAAAACCCTACAAACCAACCAACCCATTTCCTTCCATCTACACAATTTGAGATTCTTTGCATCTCATCTACAGAAGTGCCTTACATACTATCCTGCTGTCAATTAAGGCAATTATGCCTTTGCTATTGTTTATAATTGATGAGCAGTGATTGGATTTATAGCAAACACTATAGCGTGATTCAAAACTGTAATTAAGGACTAATCAATTGGATAAATTCATTAAACATTTTTGTTTCCTTTATGTGCTCAAAAGGGAGCTGAAAGGATTTTTTTCTCCTGCGTCCAACTTGCATTAGTTTTGTATGAGCAGTGTGAAATGAGTTTATGCGAATGCTGGTACAACTGCAAGTTAAAATGACAAATAGTAAGAAATATTTTATATGGACACTGCTAGACAGAAGAACTGAATGAAGACAAACAGACTTTTTATAAAAAGATTTATTAAAAATAAGTTCTTTAAAGAGGAAAAAGTGTGACATGTATATACATTAACTTGTCAGAATCTTCATGGGGCTTGAATACAATGTATTCTGATCCAAACAAGAGACAATAACTTTTTTTTTTTTAGTATGTTGTGCTTATTGGAAAGTAACAGCATATGGGAAGAGAAAAAAACAACACAATATACAACCATTACAAGCAAAACTTTGAAACTGAGAACTACTTACAAAGATGAAACTCAGTGATCCGCATGATGCTATCGTTAAATACACACAGAAGCCAAAAGTTTATGAATACAATCTTCAGTTGATACAGTTTATCTGACAACTGCCAGCTTCTGATTAGTTCTTCATTCCTCCTGTCAATTAACAGATCTTAGCAAGTGGGTTTCTGTTCTGTAAAGGTAAAAGTATTTTGAGGACAACAAAATACCACCCAAACCATATAAATGCATCTTTTTCAGCTCTATTGCGGTAAATATCAAAGATTTCTTCTTAGGAAGAGAGTCACACAATCACTGGTTTTCTCCTTTAACTGCCCACATCTCTGACAGCCAGAACCACAAAAATAGTTTTCCTTAAAACGATTTTATTTTACAAGAGTGTTTCGCACAAACAGTGACTTGACAAACTAACACTTGATTCTGCATGCTTCAGATGACCTCAGCTTCTCATACCCAGAGGTCATATTTATAACTATATCCTTTCAGTTGTGTCTTCTGAAGACTCCCCATTTTTTAGTGCATATATACAGCCAGCTGAGAACTGCAGTATTACAGATGTGTACCCATCCTTACAGCAGAATTCACTCTACTCTCAGATGTATGCAGGACTTCTGTCTGTAGATCTTCGTAGCATCCTCTTTAGTCCCATAGCTTAATAAGACCATCCCAGCCACATGTAATGACTTTAGATGTTTCATGCGGATGCCACACCGCACCGATACAGACTTTATCATGTGCTTTTAATCTGCTGTAGAGTTTTGTGGTCTTCCAGTCCCAGATGTTAAGTTTTCCATCTGCATCTCCAGATATCACATAACTGTATAAACAGGATTAAAATAAAAGCTGTATCATGTGTGAAGACTGCTTGTATTATAATACCTTTACACTGAGCAGGGGAAAAGAGCTTCACCCAGTGAGCTTCCTGTCTGACAGTCTGCAAACACACCTACCGAAGAATTAGCATTCATGCTGTGCTCTAAAGCATACAAGTCCTGCAGAAGGTGATTCATCAACTGCGAGGTAAATGTGCTAAGCAATGCGATTATACCATACACTGTGTTACTGGAACTAAAGGGAATACATCAGCAAAAGAGAAAGTGCCAGAAGTTTCTCTAAAATTTATAGACACTTCTTTCCACTCTTTCCTCCAGTTTTGCTGAGGTTATTCTCCAGTTTTTATAGCAGTAAATATGTACATACAGTGGTAAACGTATGGGCATATTACTAAGCAAACAGGACGAGAAAGATAGTTCTCTGAATAATAAATGAGGATACCCACGTCAGACCTGCAAATTGGGAAAACTGGCCAAGTCTGAATCCCAGGTATTCTAAGGAAAGTGCGTATTGCGGGAATAAACCCTGTGCTGCAGACCACGAGCAAGGAGAGCCAGACATGAGTCAGAAAAGGCAGCCTCCTGTGCGGCACCAGGGCTAGGCAGACCAAGGGGAGGCTCTGCATGGTTGAACAGGAGTGTAAATCATCTTTGCAGAATGGGGAAACTGGACTACATGGACTGTTTTCTTAATGGTGCTCACAGCAACCACTGAGTATATAACTTAGTCCTACCAAATGACAAGGGTAAACTTTCTGTTCTGCTGCTTGGCTAGGGAACTCTGATGCTGAGTTAACAGGGTGGCTGTGCATTAATTAATGTTGCAGAGTATTCAAAAAGAAACTGTCTGTGCTAGAAAGTTTTAAGATGAAGCTCATTCCCACAAAAACTTACCTCATGTCAGGTGAAAAATCCACTTGACAAGCGTAGCCAGCTACCATGTGACCTTTGAAAATTTTCTTTTTGTTTAATCTGAATCTATTCTGCGCTCCAAAAATCAGAATTTGGTTATCCATCGACTGGCAAGCCAACCATTTCCCTATAAATACAATAAACAAAGGTGGTATCAGAGTGTCACATCTGAAGGAACAGACTTAACTGGAATGTTTTAAGAGATTTTTGTAACTCTTCTTGCACTATCTTAATCCAGATTTTCATTATGTACCAGGGTTCTAGGTAGCAGCTGATACTGCTTCTGCCTGATACAACTGCTAAGAGGCAAGACCTTATGTCTGACAGGATTGGGGATGCCTATTCCTACAAAATGCACTCAGGACCCTAGAAAAGTTCTGGCTGTTACAATAATGTGCTGCATCAACCCCACTGACTTACTGGTAAATTTTTAAGCTACTGAGTAAGCTTGCTGGTGCACATAATTAAGTAATTCAGATGAGGGTAAAAAAACCCATCTAGCTGCAATCTATTTGATACCTGTTTTGTGGGTACTGTAAGATGGTCATCTCTTATTTTCTTTACTGGAAAAACAGGTCTAAGGTAGACTTTCAGGAGTCTGGAAATCCTTACTTTTTTTTTCTGCTTTAATGGAATGTAATTTAATAAAGATACCGTAGTCAAAGAAAAAACCCGGGGCTTTTCTAATCTTAACTCTATCTCATCCTGCATCTTGGCAGTGCATTAACTCCTGCCTGAGAATCCAATGAAGATGGTCTGCTACAGAACACCACTGAATAGAGACTTCTGAATGCTGCATATCGTCACTGCTTTTACAGTGTTTTATGCAAACATTGATAACATAAAATGTGCTGACTTGACTGTAAATCTGATCACACTTCAAGCTACTAGCTTGGAATATGAGGATCTTCTTCAGCCTGCCAAACAAACATGTCAAGTGTGTACCCCAAGCATGTTATTCTCCTCTTCTACTTTTTAAAAGGTTGGTTTCCTGCATTGGAGGAAAAATTTAATGGATGAGATTCATAAATCAGTGCCCCTAAGCAGAAATGTTCCATACCTGTAAAATTTTCTATTTACTTTTCTTTAAAGGAATCATTTAACTCCAAAATAATGCATGATGTGTCTGGAACAATCGGTAGCATAATTATTCCAACAGAATTTTTTTTTTTTTTTGGTGATACTGAACTACTGTAGGTCAAGATAATGTTAGTTAATGGGACAGATAATGTCTTGAGCTGAAAAGATGGCTACTTCATTCCTACCATCCTTTACTGTCTCATCTCAGAAATCAAATACTCTAATGGTGGCCAGCCAGAACTGGAAAAAGAATGAGAAATCCAGTATTTCAATGTGGAAGAATGAGACAAACTGAAAAATTTGATCAGAATACAGCAAGTTGTGCAATTTCAGAGGTAGGGGTTGAGAAAGACCAGCTTGGGAAGCTACCATTCTTAAATGCGGCTATCTCTTTCTCCAGAATCTTCCTTTTTATGTTAGAAACCCACTTCTATTGTTAAGAATAAAATGTTTACACTGCAAAACAAATACAATTTGATGCTGATAGCTGGCACAACTACTTAACATAATGGGACTGTTAAGTGTAAATCTGTCAACACTTCAATAATGTTGACATTAAAGCTATTTAATTTTGGCCAAAGAGATAACAGAGATTTTTGTCCTGTTAGAAGGATTTTCACTTGATTACTGAAGGTACTAAACCTTTATCCTCCTTCAGTTTGATTCTAATTGAAGAACATAAACACCAGTGAAACATTAACATACAGAAACACTGAGATAATCTGGGATTTCTCTTATGCCAGAGTTATTTGAGCTATATTCAGAACACAAAGCAACAGCACTAACAGAATCGTGTATGACATCAGTTTCTGCTTTAACAGTGGCACCAGAAGTACTGCTGAACTTGCTTAGTACTTTGCAGCTATTGTCGGTTCCAAACATTGTTTCTCTTAGTATTTTAAATAGAGCAAAGAACACATCTTAGCTCTATGAAAAGAAAGAGTCATTTTGCCCTGTCTGGATGAAGGTCTAAATTTAAACTGATAGAGTTATCCTGATATAACCCCTCATTTTGACATACTTGTTCTTCTTAAGACTTGTAAATCAAAACAAGATCCAGTCCAATCTTGGAATAAGTGCACACAGTGATTTTGAGGGGTGGGGATAGTGTGAGGTGATAGGGGGATGCAACACAGCAATGATACAGAGATATAATCAGTAAGACATGCCTATGTAAACTAGGCTTAAGAAGGCAGTAAAGAGCATTAACCTACCATTTGGAGACAAAGTCACGGCTGGCATCGAATGCATACTTGGCTCAGCTATGTACTTGAAGTCTACAGGAATGTCCCTGCAAAAGGAAGAAGTATGTGTTTTATGAAGACATGGAGATATTCCAAAGGGCTGCCTCCAGTCAGCTGGTTTACTCAGCCACTGAACCATGGAGAGCATATGGTGGTGTCCAAAGGAAGAATGTGCCAAAGCTCAAAAATATTATGCGTGACCACCTAGAGATCTCCAGCTGCAGAGCCATCTACAGGATAACCTCTGATAGAGTGAATTTACCCCAATGAAATGACCCAGAGTCTAAAGCAGAATCATAGTTCCAATTATTAAAAATAAAACTGTAACACAAAGATACTCTATTGCCTCCAGTTTAACTGCAGCTTTCACAAAATTCTTATATAGGTAGTAAGAATAAACTGATATATGCATGTATCTTATTGAGTTTTAACTAGATTAAAAAAAAAAACCCAAACCCAAACAAAAAACAGTCAGGAGTCTCTTTCTTTCATCTCTCCAACAATGTCCTTTTCCTCCTGATCTCCTCAAATGGGATGTCAACCAATTTCAAATGTTCACAGCTGAACTGAACCGTGAACTCCCCAGTCTTGATTGCGTACAGGGCTGTGCCAGTGTATGTTAAGAACGTACACTGTCCCTTACAGAGGCCTAGGAAAAAAACAAGTACAGTCTAATCCTTATTCTGCAGAAGTGTCATTTGATTTTGACTATATAAATTAAATTACTAACGGTCCATGCATATTCACAGTATTCCTCATACCCTACACTAGAAGACTGGTAAAAAGGGAAGGCATGCACATGTCTTTCTCATTAAGCAAAAGAAATCTCCAGCAGAAAATAGATTTGATTAATGTATTCAGCAGAAAACACATGCAAAATGCTCTGTAGCAACATTAATTAATACAAAGGGGATGGTTATGACTTCATTGTCTAATTCAAACTGTAGAAGGGATGCTGGGACACTATCAGAGCAGAGAGCGTGGGTGGCTGCCTTGTACTAGCTGACTGAGCCTTGCTGGATGGCAGTACAGTCAATATTAGCAAGGTAATTACAATTCTATTTAATTGTGGAGTAAGTTATTTCCCGTCATCTTGCGTTAAGCTACATGCACATGGGCAGCAGGGCAAGAAGCTTCTCTGTTGTCAGGAAGCAACAAATGCTCCTGCGAGTTAAATGTTAAAATCATTTACCCCTCAGAATGTGAAGGGCAATCCCCTTAATACACTCTGTGGGTAAGAGCATGAGCTGGGATAACTGCTTCCAAACAAGCAGACCTAAGGCTACTGTTGGACAGTAAATCTGTAAAAGAGTAACAAAATTCCACATAATCTCTGAGGCTGACCAACATGACAGCCCAGGAAGTGCAGTGCCCTGTGCCCCATCCTACCCTTTTGCATCACTACCCAAACAGCTTCAAACCCCACCTGCAACAGGACACAAGGTCATCACTGTAGTAAGGCCAGATCCTGATCAGCTCCCAGCATCTAACACTCTCTCAGCCCACCGGTCATCTGAGTCCTCAGTGCCACGTAAAAGCCATCCCACTGGAAGCCCCATTAAAAAAAAAAAATCTCATCACAGAAGATGCATCTCCAATGCTGAATTGTACAGCAGAGAGAAATTTAAATGCAGCACAGGATGTCCTGCTTTCTCTCCCTTTACAAATGAAGATAGGCTCATCTACTGGAATTTATTCAAGACAGCTCTGCTTTATGTTGAAACCTACCAGACACACTTAAGACAGCTGCAGGACGCACTGCATTAAACTATTAGGCAGAATAAAGAGATACATTTATGTTTCACATTTGCTTGATAAATAAGTAATATCATCCTGCTCCCTTACCAAAAAACTTTAAAAAATATTATTAATAAAGATGCTGTCATGATTGTCTGACCTCAAAACTCATGTGATGTAGTTGGTTCAAATTTTTAAATTTAAAGATCTTCAAGTCTTTCCCGCACTTCATGGCATTTTGAAGGCTTAAAAGTTTTAAATATAAATAGTATCTGCTAGCCAAGACTTAGGAGTGTGATACTCCGGTGCTGTAATACAAGGAGGAAGGAAGGCAAAAGGAAGGCAAAAGGAAGGCAAAAGGAAGGCAAGGCACCCAAACAAATTCCAGACCCAACTCAATCCAATTTTGGGATCTACCCATCATGAAGAGCTCCCTCAGGAGACTACAGTGTCTTTACCAGGAACGATGGAAAGGAAAGGCCTGCTGAGGGGTATAGCTTTACAGACATGACAAGCCTCCTAAGTCTGTCAGGATAACAGCTAAATCTACTGCTATACAGTTCTTGCATTGCTAGCTGACTTGAATCAGGTAAAAGGAAATAAAAGCCTCAAATCATTTCACTGTTTATTTAAATAAGATCAGATGCATACGAAGGAAAAGACAAAATAACATTTTTACATTTCTAGAAGAAAGAACACAGAGTATGATACCCATGTCAACTTTAATATCCCTGCTGTAATGATACAATCACATGAAATGTGAAAGCAGACAAATTTTCCATTAAGATTCCTAAAGAAACCATTTAATCTGCAAGGGTCTGTGCTATACCTGGAGTCTGAACTTTTAACAACCAACCAACTGCAATTCAGTGTACAGCACAGTGAAGTCTATGCATATGGGATGAACTCTTGGGGAAAGGAGATTTAGATTCTCAGGGGAGAAGTTCTTCACTGTGATGAAGTCTGACATGGCACCCCATTACCAGCTCTGGCCAAGACAAAATGTTTACAAAACATACTTCAAGATTCCTCTAGGCAACTGAAACTAAGCAATTAGACCAGCTTTAATTACTGGCTTTTAAGGCCATATTCAGGCCCTAATTAATTCCGCTTTGATTCTGTAGAATACTGAAGAAATACTGTGCTGACAAATATATGAAGAAACATGCCGTAACCAAATCATCCTAAGCTGCAAATAATTCTTATGAACTCAGGAAAAAAACATTTGAGGTGCAGCACGAAATAATTTGTCACGGAAGTCTTCAAGCTCAAAAAGCTTCTGTAGTGAATATATTAACTTAGTTTTAATGCATTGTAAAAATTTGGAACTCAAAATGATAGAAATGTGCCTACAGACCAATTAACATATACGATGGCAGGTTGTTGAGAAAGGTATTCAAATCATGCCTAAGAAGACAGCATTACATTTGCTTTTTATAAAACAAAAAAAAATCCCTAACAACTGTATTACAGAATATTGCCTACAGTTGAGTTCCCTGTGATCTGAACAAGGTTGCTCTTTCTTCAGCGTTACAGCAAGCTCAGTACATGTTATTTTCTTCAAGAGGAAAAAAATTTCTGCTACTGAACAATCAGGTTGCGATGTTCCCATGCCAGAACCTTTCTGCCTTTCCTGCTCTTCCCTACAGAATGACTAAACCCACCCACTTCTCTATTTATTTCAGCCATCAACACAAAGCTCACAAAACAAGGGCAATCCAATCTCAAGGAAATAACAGATTTATGCAAGTGAGATCATCCTCCCACTCGCCAGAGAGGAGCCATTCCTTAGCAGATATGATATTGTAAAGATTTTTCTTGATGGAGTTCAGTAAATGCATGGGTCTAATTATGAAGTACTGAACAGAGGCTCTCTCGGAGTGACATACGATGACAGCACTGCATGTCTAGCCTAAGCCTGGGTTCCCAGACTTTGGCCATTACCACCACTGCTACTGGCAATCATAGCAGCTGATCACAGACATGCTGAGGGCTTTGCTGGCTGCTTGGGTAACATTCAAATACCACAGATTGGAGTCTCTTGTCTAGTTTTTTTTTTTTTTTTAAAAAGCTAGGAAGGAACTGATTAGTCACAGAACTGTCGAACTCGCATCTGTATTGTGCAACAGCTTTGCATGTGTGAACAGCAAAAGGAAATGGATACCTAAAGATATGGGAGTGACTATTTCAAAAAGAAATTTGAAATTCTAGAGAAATCTTAAAAGTCCTAAGCTGAAAATCTTAGTACCTAGAACTTTGTGAAAAGCACTTCAGAGAGATTTGTTTTCTCCCCAGATATGTTAAAAATTGGATGCCATTTAAAATGATGTGTCTTATGAATTTTTCTTGGATAGACTTTCATTTTTCTGTCATCTATTGTACCCACACTGTGGGGTATCAATGACTGCCACAAAACCCAGACTACCAGAAAACCAGAAATTGACCTATACTAAAGTAGTTAATTTCATACATGGGCTGAAACATTCAAAACCAACAAACACTAATGTAACAGAGCCTACATTTCTTTAAGAAGTTAATTTAAGGGCTAATACACCACTGGGGAAAGGAGAAAGAACAGAGATCACTAATAGAGTGTGGTGTGCTTCAGGTTGACAGGGCTGTCTTATGCCTTCTGTGGGGGAAGAGGAAATCTATGAAGTGTTTCAAGCATTAAGTCAGAATAGGGTTTAAAAGCTAGTTCTTCCTCAGCTAGGTAGAACTCAGTGCACTCCAGTGTCCTATGTGCTATGTATACTTTTAAAAATAAACTCACTTCTCAGTTTGCTCATAATATGTTAAATTCAAAATTTTAAACTTACCATTCCCAGACTCTTAAGCTCTTGTCATCAGATGTACTCACAAATCTTCTATTTTCATCCACAAACACAATGGTGTTGACAGCTCCCAAATGCCTATCGTATTCCTGCACAATCTCACCACTTCGAATATCCCACTACAAATAAAGAAGTCAGAATAAGACCTTGGTTTTTTACTAAATATAAGAATTTTTAGAGGAAGAGATATTAAATAGACATACCTGCACAATCTTCTTATCTGACATTCCTGCAACAAAGAGATTTTGTTTATCTTCGTCAGGATTGAACTTGACACAATAAGGAACCTTCCTGTTTGTAAATCTTGAAATACATTGCCCTGCAACAGAAAAGCCATTCATGGTGCATCAGGTTGGAAATTCTATGGACTGAGAGATCTTTGCTGATATTGATAAAAACCATTCATTTTACTTTTACTTTACTAACAGCAGAAAATACTTGTTTTAAATCCCTTGAGAGGATTACAGGGTAGAATTTACCCTGCTCTTTTATCAGATATTTCACATGTTTGTAGGCATGCACCTGTATAAAAACATACACATACAAACTGCTCCTAGCTTTACTACAGCTTTTCAAACAATATTAACTGCTCAGGATGTCATCAGGATATATCAAGGACATCAGGGCTGGTCAGGATATCACAAGCTGACCACTGTCTTTGCAAAGCATCACCTCCTTAGGATCAGAGGTCTTCTCAACAAGAAGACTTAAACTCAGGCAAGAAGTCCTCAATCCGAAACCTAGGAAAGGATAACGGTAATCCAACAGCAAAACAAACTACTGACCTCCTCTCATAGCCTCAGCCATAAATACCCTGATTCAATGTTATCTGTAATTTACAGGAGCCTGTTATAATCCAGAAGCTCCATAAATTATTCAAGTGTCTAAATAACTGCGTTTGGACTCAAGGCTGGAGAATTTGGCTTAGACCTTTCTGGTTGTCACCTCCATGACTAACAAACCAAGAAATCTAGCATCTTTTTCAAATATGGAAACTTCCTGTCTTAGGAACAGACTTAAGCTTAAAAGAATACTGACAAAATCTATCCTCTATCTTTTCATCTTAAGAAACTATTTTGAGCAGAACGTTACATCTCCCAGGCAGTTCTGTGAGAACATCAGACTTGCCCTCCAACTCCCTCTACCACCTTTTCTTATTTGGAGTGCTCTTCAAGTTCAGGTTAATGGAAAGATCAAATGAAATGATTCTTCTGAATTAAGCATATTTAGGTCTAAACTGTGATTTCATTACTTTACCTTATGCCTGTAAATGTAAACACACAATTAACTGATTTGGTAAAATTAACTGATTTGGTAAAATTTTGTCTTTTTGCTGAAAATTGTTCTAGCATTAGAAGTAACTATCAAACCCCTCAAATAAAAAGGTATATGAAATACAGGTATATAGGTAGTGTCAACTGCACCATTACAGATAACAAAATATTTAGGAAAAAAAGACTTTATCCTGTAATGAAAGCCTGAACACTGAACTATGATATTAAGAATAATTGGAAACAATCTGACTGATAATATACCTTGCTATTTACTATTAATTAAACATAGTGCCAAATAGCAGCATCTACAAATACAAGCCTACCTGTTTCAGTGTCCCAGAGTTTAAGATAGCGGTCATATGCAGCACTAAGAAACCGAGTGCCAGCATTATTAAAACAGATGTCTCGAACAGCTTTACTATGTCCTACATGATAGAAAAAATGTGATGATAAACTTTTACCCATTCATGCTTAGAATAATTTTTTTAAAAAAAACATTCATATTAAATGCTCTAGTCTTTAAGAATGCAAAGAGAACAAGGAAATCGCTTACTGAAGTTCTCCATTGAGCACTAATAAAGAATGATTCAAGTGAAAAAGTAACTCCTAAAGCATGATGAGAATAAACCCCGAAAATCTACACACCTCTAAAGCACTAGAGAGAGAAACAATAGCATTGCACAGAACCAACCACTGTGCATTGTTCATAAATTGATACACAAGCAGAACTTTAAGTACTGTTGGCTTCAAAGATTGTTCTGGTTACATTTAAGAGCTGCATGAGAAGTTTAAAACACTGTAATAAATATCAACATCTAATGAAAAAGAGGAGAGACAAACTCCAAGAGATACATTTAAAGGAGAAACACTTATAATTAGAAAACAGGTACAAAATATGAGAAATATGAGATCAGAAAATTAAAAATGCTTTCATCTGATGTTAAACTTGCTACCCCTCAACCCCAATACTTTCATCTGACCACTACATCAGACTTGTAGATCTCTTTAGTTAAAATATTGGCACAGTAACTTAAATATAGCAGAACAGCAGGTGAAACTGGTTGATAATAAGAACATTTGAGAAAAACAGTCAAAATGTTCAGAAAGAGCAGTCTATTGAGAGAGAACCTTTTTTGAGCCATCATCTTTGCCATACTGCTGTCATCAAAAATATTAGGTGAAAAAAGGCTTCTTTGTTGTTACTCAACATATATTCACTCAGTGTTCTAGAAACATTCACATTTCAAAAGGAGAGACAGCTGCTTTTGTTCTGCATTCAAGGCTGCTAAGAAGTTTGTATTTCTCTTTCAGCTATCTTCTTTTAAAAGCATGTTACATGAACAAAGATGGCACCTGAACCTAAAAAAAAAAATTCCCATGCTTTTGCACTAGAAACTCAGCACAGAAGAGACCACCTATTTAAGGTGGGATCATCAGATCACAAGATGCTTTCACTGCATAAATACAGGAGGGCTGCTGTTTCTCAACATGAATACTGGGCAATTTAATTCCACAGTTTTGCCTTTAGAAAGGAGTCCTGCATAAAGCATTGATGACTGCAGTATACTAACATTTTGTTTCAAAGGTTGTAAGGTGTTATACATCAATATTAAGTTGCTTGGAATAATGACAAAGGTTCACTAAAAACTTGCACATTTTTCAATTCTTATTGCCGAGATCTCACTGAATACCATTTGCCTTGAATGCCTACAGGTCCTCTCTACAATAAACTAGTAAGTTAACCTAAACCATATCCTTCCATGAAGTTTTAAATATGTATCAGTTTTAAAGATGTATCAGTTTAAAAAAAACCCCAAACCTATTACCGATAAATGTTCGTAGACATCTTCGATCACCATATACTTCCCATAGCTTGAGGAAAAAAAAAGAGGATGGGGAGAAAAGATGTCAATTGTTAAACAATAATGATGCTGAAATTAAGTGCAAACATCTATGGCAACACCTTTTAAGAAATTAATTATAAACATATTGCCCAGAAATTCACAAGAATGCTCTGTCACCTTCTTATTAGCAAAACCTCCTTAAGATAACTAAACCCCCCATATCATATTTAAACTTTAAAGTCTGAAGGTTTTGCTAGTAAAAAAAAATTAAAATATCATTAGCTTTCTAATATGATATATGTTGGAATAAAATGAGATTAGTTCAAGACCACAAATGCTTCAGTAAAACACTTCAGCAGAAACCTACTGCTAGTTGTAAAACTGGGTTTCACAGAAAATGATTATAACAACAAAGGCAATAACCTGAGGAACTTGTGATCTTCTAAATGCTATTAATAAATGATTAACACTGTTCTAACACCCACAGTCTGGTGTATTATTTCTATCTTTGTTCCAACAAATTTGTAATTTAAAAATCAAGTGAGAAAAATAGACAAAGGTATTTGGTAGAATGTTTAAATATGCTAAATACCAAATGTTTAGGTATGCTAAAATACATTGTCTGTATTCAGTGATGGTATAAAATATATACATGAAAATGGAAAAATTACTCACCTTAATTTTGCAATCCATTGAGCAAGACAACAGTATATGCCCTGAGAGAGGAAACAATCTAACTGCACTGACACCCTGTAAATAAGGACATAATTAAACAGTAAGTGGAGCTGCTAGATGTTTCCTCAGTTCACTTGCCCTCTTTTCCCATGAAAAAGCTAAAGCTTATCTTCATAAAATATACAGATACTGTATCTTCAAAACAAATAATCTATCCACATTCCATTTCAGAAACAGTGATGTGTTTTTAACAATCATTACTTGGTTCAATTCAACAGCTGTATGTATACTCTCCTTCAACACTCACCCCATTACTGCGGTAAACACAGCAAAGAAATACAAACTGTGGGTTTGGATGACTGTTTCTGTATAACAAGCATTTTCAGGTGGGGCAGGTGAAGAATTTTTCCACAAAAAATGTTTCTGGCCAGCTCCATTTCTGACATACACTACCAGTGGCTTCTACCCACTGAACTCAGATTCCTTGGGCACACGATCTTCCCATCTATCTGTATTTCAGGTACTGCTTCCAGAGGAAGTCCAAAGAACCACCAAGTACTCATGGTTTGATGACCCTTCTTTCCATTTCATGTCATTTACTCTATTTATATTCCATCCAGTTGCTCCCAACCCTGGTTGGAGTCGGATGCTTTATCCTCCCTATTATTGTCTACTTATATCCCCCAGCTTTTCCAGATTTGTCAGCCCATCTTTCTTTTGCTTCTTTCATCAATATCATTATTCATCTCATTTGAAAGAAAAAGCTATTTTATGCATTGGTCTGTTCTAACAGGGTAACAGGCAGAGTTGTGACTAGAGCTTTGGGGAGATGTTATTCTGGAAAACACTGATAGTTGCAGCTACAAGCTCTTTGATGCAGCAATCATTAAACAACTAAAAAAGGGTAAAAACTAAAAGTGTTCCCTGTGTCTTCCTTTCTTCATATTTCAGATATCATTAAGGTGCTGTCCATTGCAGCACAGCATATTCTCTCAAGCAATACTGAAAACTAGAGACAAAAGAAGCAGCAAATTGAGTATAAGTTTTACAAATTTGATCAGTGAAATACTTTCTAAATAGCAAAAATACGTATATAGTTATGGGCTCTGGCACAAGGAGAAACTGTAGATGTTTAGCATCATCAAAGAAAACTCTTAAAGCACGCCCCTCAAAGGCAATAGCTGTAATAGGGAAACCTGGAATGCTGATGCATCATAATCACAAAACCTATGTAAGTTTGATATGAAATAGCCATTAAGTACTTTTACTATTAAAAAAGAAATGCATTTTCAGAGATCTCTAGAATTAGCCTTACTCATATTCACGTGGTAGTTTAGTAAATAACTCCACATCTCACAGAAGTCACTGAATAATATTTGTCCCACTAAGGGATGTCCGGAAGTCACTATATTAATGGAAAAGTATATGTAGGTAAACAACTGCATCTGAGCTGGCAAACACCTTGTATGAGCATGTAATGCAACCAATTACAGGCATAATGCAGTAAAGACAAAAATACTCTTTCCTTCTACTGATACTTCAGTTTCAGTTACTAGCTTCAGACACAAAGTGAAGTGGGTTTTTATGATGCATGCTCACAAACATGCCTTCCTACCTTTGTATGTCCAGACCACACATGGATTTGTTTCTTTGGAAGATAGCACTTCTCAGGTGGCACTGTAGAACGGAGATTAACTCCAACATCTTGAGGGACATGAAGGTAAGATCTCCCCTGATAGTCATACATTTCCTTAACTGAAAAGGTAAACACAGAATTCTGGGAATTCAAGAGCATGTATTTTAAGAGGTTATAATCTTTGAAAGGCTCAACAGCCACACACAATTAAGGTTTTTCTCAAAACAGCTGCTCTTCTGTGAAGTGGGGGGAGAAAAAAAAAAGGAAAACCCACTTCATAGGATACAGATGTGGAACCTTATTTGACAACAGCTAACTCAAAATTAAATCACTTCAGCAAAGTCTGCTTGGAATCTGATAATCTCAACATTAGGACAATCTCCACCCTACACATCTTACTCATCATCAAACAGCCAGAGTTCCTCCAGCCAACAAGGGTTTACTTATACCAACTCTACACAGATTATAATGTGCAACACTAACCCTGGCATTAGCTTGCAATTCACATGCCAGCCAGCTCTGTGCTGTGTCAGTCACGTCAACAGAACTGCAAATCAGAGTAAAAAAGATCCATTTGGCTGGTGTGAACCAATACTGGTCAGCAGTAGCCAACAGCTGCTCTTTAACTAGAGTTAAAAAATCACAGGCCAGACACGCAGGCATGCATTGTGCTCGGAAATGGGCATTTCAGAGTAGACTTGTGTTGGATAGCCATGACATTAAGCTGTGTACTGATTAAATTAATTCCTTAGTTTCTGGGATATCATTACAGCAGCTTTGGTTGTACAAGTGACTTCCTGCACTGTATGAATGTTTATCAGTGTTTACGCATGTGTACAAAATGTTGTATTTCTGGAATGCTTGTGTTTGCGAAGATTAAAGTTTATCTTGTAAGGTCTTTCACTGTGTAACTTCAGGTAGAGACCATGAAAAGTTAGATACAAAATAATTATTCTACAGGAGGCTCAATGGCTAAAATTTCAGATTTGTAATGATCATCACTATTCAATAAACATTGTCATGACCTACTATATATAAAGAGAATGACGTACTAATGTCAGCAATGCATATCTCATAGCCACTTTTTCTGTAATACATGTAAGAAAGGATGTACCACCTTGTGCGTGTGAACCTGGATGTAAAAAGTGGTAAACAAAGAGAGACTCCGTTTACCTATCTGTTCCAAGCAATATAAGGCAGGATTGCTTTGCATTCAGAGAGTTGAAGTAACAGTTTCCAAAAATAATTTAATTTTACTTACTTACCAAACCATTTTCTTTGAAGGTACCACATACTATGCTTCCATAGGGTGATTATTTGATACACAATTATTCATGGTATGACAGCAAGAACATTTACATTAGGAAATGAAGAAGTATAAAGTGATTTTCTAAACTGTATGTAAGACATAAGTCAAAGCACTACTTGCTGATGAAAGTACTGACACATAAAACTGCAATAATTCTGAAGCTGAAACTAAGCCAAACTCATAACTTTAAAATGTTTGCTCTGTAAAACAAGAAAGGGATATGTGCATGTAGTAACATTAAAAATAAATAAATAAAACCTGTACCCTGAAAGATGACATTTCCACACTGCTCTTCACAGTAAGAAGTGGAATTAGTCCAAGATTATCTCTTTCCCTGTCCTTTATGCTTATGCCTGTGAGCGCTATTACCTTCAATACAGAAACATCAAGGTGCCTCAGCAAAACTGCTGAGGCTGTCTGCCATCCTTACTAATTAACACAGCAGGCAAGAAAACACAGTGAGCAAGAAAATAAGAACAGGCAGGAAGATGCCATTACCATGTAATATAGTCTTCTCCTCGCCAGGTTTATCATCTTCTAGTTTTCCTCTCTTCTGCCTCTTAGCTGTTATTTCATCCAACTCTTTCTGTTCTTCCTGGAAAAATAAAACATGAACTTTTAAAAATTCAGCATTCAGAATCACATAAAATCCATATCTGTACTACTGTTTACTTACTATTAAGAACACATTTGCTAAATGAGATTAGAAATATTTCTACACATCAATAAATATCTTTATCAAAATAGTTTGAAAAGCTGTATACACTGAAAAGTGTTAAATATTATCTTTTAAATCATAGACTACATCACTGACTGAAGAATAAGGATGTTTGTTGGTTGGGGATACACGTGTGTTATTGTTGGGTTTATGTTTGGCTGTTTTTTTCTTTAAGCAAGTTTTACTTTCAGTTCTTTTCAAGCTGCTTCCATTTATAAATAACTTTTAATCAGATTCTACATGCTACACGCAGATACAATGAATTTTTTTTCCCAACAGTCTTGCAAATAAATGAATGCAGAATATTTGGAACACTGGATTCGGACATATCACCTGAAATGTTTCTATCACCCTAAAGCACAGCATGGATCTTGTGCTTGGACAAGCTACTATTGCAGCTGGATCTCTGTTAAAATCACTACAATGTGCTAACAATTTGGATATATTGTGTTAAAGTAGTACTTACTTCTGATGGTTTGGCTACTTCTTTTTCATCAACATACTTTGCCCATGGTCCCAGAAAACCGTCAATATTAGATGCATCATTTTCCTTGAATTTCTTCCTTTTTTCAATTTTTCTTTGTCCTGTTTCAAACACTGTTAAACCTGAAGAAGGAAACAATACACTGCCTAGCTGCTAACACAGAATACAACATCACAGATCACATCATAGCCAGTTTAAAAGAAAAAAACCACCACCACCCCTCCTTTCAATACAAACAGCAAAATGGAAAAAATTATTTGAGCAAAACTGGTAAAAGCATTGCTAACTTTTCTAACTATGAACATTGCTAACTATGTACAGTAACAGAAGAACCACTTAAACTGTAAGTCATGATTTGTTAAGAGTATTTAACCACGCATTTTTAACAATGTCTGCAGATTGTACGAATACATCAATTTTCAAATTTTAAATAGGGCAATGTTTAAAAGTAGAGCCCTAAGAATTGGCTTCTGATCCCCCTCGCCCCTCTCAGTTTCAAAAAAACCCCTCCAAAATATGACAAGTCTTCCAAAACCCCAACCACAACTGTATATTTTAGTCCAGTAAAAATGTATACAAACAGAATGGTTTGGGTTGAAAGGGACCTTTAAAGGTCATCCAGTCCAACCTTCTTGTAATGAGCAGGGACATCTTCAACTAGATCAGGCTGCTCAGAGCCCTGTCCAGCCTGACCTTGAATGTTTCCAGGTATGGGGCATCTACAACCTCTCTGGGCAACCTGTTCCAGTGTTTCACCACCCTCACAGTGAAAAATTTATTCCTTGTATCGTTTGAATCTACTGCCTTTTAGCTTAAAACCGTTACCCCATGTCCTATTGCTACAGGCACTATTAAAAAGACTGTCCTCATTGACATGGTTATCTACTTCCAACCACTATCTTGTTCTTCCATATAAATGCTAGCTTTTCACAAAATGCTGTGCCTTCAGAATTTAATTTCTCAAAACCATTAAACAATATAGATATGAGGAAAAAAAGAATAAATGAAAAGATGTTAAAGTAATGACTTGAGAAAGTTTTTCCAAAGGTTGTATATACATTTGTGAGCAATTTTCAAAGTTTCCCTACAGATCAGTAAGACTCATCTAGTGCAAAGGAGTCAAAGAGCTTTGTATAAGCAAGGGGAAACAGGCAATGTAAAAATTGAAGTAATGATCATATGAAGGAGTTGTACATTAATCAAGAGTTTTCCTAAAATAAATCCATTATGAAAATGGTATTTTTAAAAATTTTTGAAATTATTTAATCTTAGCCATTTCTGTCTAATGTCTGTAGCTGCTTTAGCAAAATAAGTCTATTTTCTTTATCTTACTTCAGAGGGAAAGACTGAAATAACTTTAGATATATTCTGTGGAAGAGGACACAAAAATAAAGAACCTTTGCATACACATGCAAATAAGATACTAGAAAAAGACACTCAAGGGAATGCGTATCTGTAAAGTTTACACAGGTACAATTTTTCAGTGCAAACAAGTCAGTTTGGGTATTAAGTATCTTGTATCAAAGTATTAATTGCAAACCCCATGTCTCCAGTAGTCAATTCTCCCAGCAGCACACTATGCCTTTACCATTTGGCAACTTTCCAATGGTTTTTCTTTTCCAAATAATGCAAACAGCTTAACTCTGCTAAGCAGAGATAACATGAAATTCCCAACAGGAGTGCCAGAGGTTGTATACAGGGTGATCAGTTTGCTACTGAGTAGCACAGTTAAGGTCATTAGCCCCACATATAGGTATCCTAATGCAGACATATGACCATTTTAGCTAAGACAGAATTTAATAGAACCGAAAAGCTGTTTCAAATCTACAGATCAATTCTATTCATGCAATGGCACATGCTAGGTTCCAACTGCAAATCCTATTTTGAAATTTGACATGATAGCCTGAAATATTTGCTACTTCAAGAGAACAAAGCACTCTAATCTCTCTTCTCTCTTCACATTAAATTTACAACACACCTTTCTTTATTGTGTCTTTAGACATGGGTAAGTCTCTCATAATTCCTTCCTTTACCATACCTATTCCATTTCTTGATAAAGAAGAAATGGAAACGGTCATCAGTCACAAGCCATCTATACAAGATTTTGAATTAATTACCTTGATTTTTTTCAGCTTCTTCTACAGAACCAATATATTTGGTAGCAACTTCAGGGTTATCTATAGAAGGATCTAATGCATAACCTAGAACAAGATGAGAAATGAAATACTGTTAAGTCAAGCTTTTTAGTTTTGTACAACTTATTACTTTGCCCACCCCCCTGGCCCTGATAAAATTTTTTCCTGTTGGCTCTCAAAGTTCTAGGGATGAGGAAGGTCTGATACTTTGAAATCCCATCCACTATTCACTTGGTCTGAGTATTAAGATTATCACGAAGTATTACCATGAGGCCCTTGAGTATGCATTGCTGACAGAATGCTTAGATTCGCACAAGACAGAGAAGGAAATAAATAAAATAGGCAACAGTTAACATAAGATACAACAGGAGGATAGTCATAGGAAGTAAAATCACAGAATCTTTCTAGTGGAAAGGAACCTCAGGAGGCCCCTGGCCCAACACCCTGCTCCAAGTGAGGTCAACACTGAATTCAGACCAGTTTGCTGTACTGCAAACACTGGATTCTGAAACACCACAGGAACCTCTTCTTGTTGTAACACGGCATAAGGAAAAGACCAGCTCAAAATCTTATGGCAGTGACATGTGATTTTAAACACATGCTCCTTTAGTTCAGGGCACTGTTCCTTGGTTTGTGAAGCCAGTACATCACACTGAAACCAGCCCTTTGGTGCTGCACACAGAGCCCTCCAGCTTCAGCAGCAACCTCTGGCCCAGCAGCCCTCCACCCTGCCCACCACCTCTGCTGGGTCAGAGCGTGCTACTCAGCTCTGGCAGTCCTGGGAGTGGCAGCAGCTGGAAGGAAGAGGACAGAGATGGGGAGAAAAAGAAAACAAATGAAGTTTTACAGGGCTTTGTGCGTATTCTGTCCCCCCAGCAGAAATTATTTCATCCTCCTCCTGACAGAGTTGTGAAATCTTGTTCCTTCAACTTGAAAGCAGTTGTTTTGACCAACATGGATGTTATCAGAGGCAACAGCAATGGCCTTTAGTTTTTTAAAGAATTAGGTATTCACATCTTCATTTGCTGATTACAGCTATTGAGCCTCATCAAAAAAAATCCCCAAATCTGCTGCATTTACTCTTATAAATAATTTATTAAATGTACCAGCATTTTATATTCAGGATATTTACAATTTCTGATACTGAGGTTCTCATTTTAATAGGCATATCTTACATGTTTTCTCCATTTCTCCTGAAGTGGATAGCATGATTTTACAGAATAAGATAGACAAATAAATTAATTTAGTTTCCAAGGAACAGGTGCACTGAACAGTTACTGACCACCATGGGGTTTTTTTGGGAAAGACTGCACCCTGGTGGACATATCACCAATTTTTGTTAAATATTATTCAAGTGACAAAATGTCCCTTGAGGACTTAATGAGAATTTCTCCATATCAAGGATGAAAAAGAAAAGAAAGAAAAAAAGCAATCAAGATACTAAAGCACCGGTAAAACTGATCACACACATAAAATCGAAGAAATCCTAGAGCATACAATCTAATTCTTACATTTTTCTTGATCCAGAGGCAACCATGAACAGTGAGGGATTACCCTGTCCACTCCAGAGACCAGCGGCCTATAAAAGCACTTGAGTGCATACAAGTTGAGAACCTATCAACACTATTCTAATAGCCAAAGATCATTTTCTCAAACATTTCTCAGAAAGACTACTGTCCTAGAAGACAGTTCAGTTCATAAAAAGACGCTGGAAGACAAATACTTTTGAAATTAGTAGAAAAGCCATTCCAAGAACACATCAAGGGTTTCCATACAAATGGAACAATCCACCTGCAGACCACCCCTGGAGCCACAAATCTGGCAAGACCCAGTCATGGAACAACATACACGCTACACGCAGATGCTCCATGAATATGACAGGGAGAGAAAAATATACCAACGACCTCTTATGAAATATAAATTCCTGCTACACCTAAACCAAAGAACAAAAAATTATTCTAGGCTATTAGTAGGTTTTACTTCCATGGGTAACCAAATTGATCAGACACTGCAATTAGACACTTACTAATTTAACTGCCTGCTTTTACTAAGCCACTATTTCAGTGAGTTCTCTTCCAAGCTGTAAGGTTTCTGTGAACAGCAGAGAGATATTACTTTGGATTTCTGTCAAAATCAATACAGTGGTTTACTTGTCCTCCAACTGTATTGACACAGTCTCTGGGACTCTATTTGCTTGGTACTTGTAAAAGAGGGACAGTATTCTAATGAATAGGGCCCCTGGGCCAAGCACAGCTTCCCGGGGAAGTGGAGACTTCTTATAGATGCGTTGAACTTGGTCCAGCATCAGTCTCATTGAAAAGCTACGAACAATTTCTACTTTCTAGTAGATATGTGAATCTTTTCTTTCTGGCTGTGACTTCTAAACGCAGCTGCAAAAGACAGCTTGCTTTTATCCTACTCAGCTGGTATGCCATATAATGTGCCCTGACTTCTACGTCTCCTTCAGCTTTGTTTAGGAGTTAGATATTTCATGCCATCTTTTAGCAAGGAAAGGTACAATTCCACCTAACATCCACATAATTTCAGTACACCTGAAAATGGTTGGCTAAACAATTAGACTTCAATGTGCACTCCAGAAAGACAGCTAATTAAAGTATGTTTACACTGTACTGTGCAATGCAGCATAGAGACACCCAAAGTAGCCCAGGTATGCGGAAAAATACAGCTGGACTAATCCATTCTGACTGCACCGGCCTCTCTGCAGAATCAGAGAATAAAGCACCTACAACCGTTAGAGGTAAGAGTGTCTGTAGGTGTTGCATGCAACATGAGTAGATGAAAAAAATCAGAAGCGTTATTTCCAAGTCAGAGTAATTTTAAGCTCTTAAAATATCAGCCTTACTGATGAAGTAATCCTGTTATAACCAAGTTACTGAATACTCATAAAGAGCTTTGAGATTAATGGACAGAAGACTGTTTCTTATTAAAAAGGACATTAATATCTTGTGAAGGAAAGATTTTAAAATACTGAATGCTGCATGAATGTGGCGGTCCAGTTCTAGAAGGAGTACTGATGCTGAAAGAGCTATGAAATTATTTCACTACCATATTCATATATAGTTTGTGTGCAGCATGTAAAAAATAATCCATAATTCTGCTTCACACTGGAAATTTATATATGCCTACATAAGTAAGGAAAGTATATTGCCTTTTTTAAAAAAACCCAGTGCTCAAAAAGGAATTTTCAATAAAAGAGACTGCTTTGGCTAAAGGTACAGATATATAAGAACAAATGCTTATATTTTAGGACCTCCTAGTCTTTTTAGCCATGCTCCAAGAACAACAACATTGGAAAAATGCTAGTTAAGCTTTTGGCCATTTATGTCATAACGGCTTATGAAAAGAAATTTTTTTATTCTAGAAAGCTTACTTTAGTAGCTGAAATTCTGTAAGAACATTGCCTTACATCAGTAGATTCAAAATAGGGTAGATTACCTACGACTGCAGATGCAAAACTGGTTACCAATTAAAAAAAGTTCAGACTCTCACAGAGTAATTATAAATGGCTTTCCATCAAACTGGGAGAGGATCTTATACAAGATTATAAAATGGCCTGCCTGGACTATTTTATTCTCCCTGGGGCCTGTGTCAAGGACCTCACAGCTAAACTCCCTGCTCTAGTGATACCCAAGGACTACTACCCTCTCCTGGTTTTTCAGGTAGGTAGTGACAACATTATCAGGAGAGGTCCTAAAGAAATGCAGAGAGATTTCAGGTCCTTGGAGAAACTGGTTAAGGGGTCAGGGGCACAAATTGTGTTCTCCTCCATCCCTTCAGTTGTAGAGATGGATGAAGAAGAATAAAGGAGAACTCAACAGATGAACTTGTGGCTCTGAGACTGGTGTTACCGTCAGGGCTTTGGATTTTTCAGTCATGGGTTAGTATACAGGATGCCACACCTTTTGGCATTAGATGGAATGCACCTGTCCCAGAGGGGGAAAAGGATCTTGGGGCAGGAGTTCGCTGGGCTCATTGACAGAGCTTTAAACTAGATTTGAAAGGGGAAGGGGGCAGAACATCAGCCTATCTGAAGTGCATGTATACCAATGCACACAGGATGGGCAATAAGCAGGAGGAACTTGAAGCCAGGATGAAACAGGAAAATTATGATGTCATGGCTATTACAGAAACATGGTGGGATGTCTCCCATGACTGGAGTGTGGCAAGTGATGGCTATGAGCTCTTTAGGAGGGACAGACAGAGAAGGAGAGGTGGTAGGGTAGCACTGTATGTTAGGGACTGTTATGATTGCTTTGAGTACAAGAGTAGTGAATACAGGGTGGAGTGTCTTTGTGTTAGAATCAGGGGAAAGGCCAACAGGGCAGAAGTTGTAGTAAGAGTCTTCTACAGGCCACTCAACCAGGACAGAGAGGTGGATGAAATATTCTATAGGCACTTAGGAGAAATCTCACGATCACTTGCCCTTGTTCTTGTGGGAGACTTTAACTTCCCATACATCTGCTGGAAATACAACACAGCAGAGTAGGACCAGTCCCAGAGATTCCAGGAATGCGTGGGAGACAACTTCCTGATGCAGCTGGTGAGAGAACCAACTAGAGAAGGTGCCCTCTGGATCTCCTCTTTGTGAACAGAGAAGGACTAGTGGATGATGTGGTGGTTGTGGGCCAACTAGGGCACAGCGATCATGAAATAATAGAGTTCTCTACCCTTAGAGAGGCCAAGAAAGGTGCCGCAGAACTGACATCCTGGACTTCCAAAGGGCTGACTTTGTCTTGTTTAGTCACCTGCTTGAAAGGATCCCTTGGGAGATAAGCCTGAAGGGTATAGGGGTCCAGGGCTTGGTTTTAGGGCCACTCCTGTATAACATCTTTATTGATGATCTAGACGAGGGGATCGAGTGCACCCTCAGTCAGTTTGCAGATGACACCAGGTTGGGTGGGAGTGTTGATCTGCTCGAGGGCAGGGAGGCTCTGCAGAGAGACCTGGACAGGCTGGAGCCATGGGCTGAGGCCAACTGGAGGAGTTTCCATAAGGCCAAATGCCGGGGGCTGCACTTGGCCCCAACAACCCCCAGCAGCGCTAGA